AGTTTAAAAGAAGAAATCATTGTCAAACCAAAAACAAGTCTCGATTAAAACCAAAAGTAGTTTAAAACAAAAAGATAAAAACTTATCTCAAGTCCTCCACCAAACTCTTGAAGTTCCTTTGAATCTCTTCTCTTTTACAATCACTCAAAACAAACTAACAAAAAGGATAAAGTAAATAAAAAGTGGTTCTTAAAAATTTCTCTGAACTAACTCCCCAGAGAAGAACTTTCAAAACTTGCCAATATTTTCAGGACTCTTTTCTAAGTCCTCTCTTCTTTCTTATATAGTTTTCCATGAGGTACCTTGGGATCTCTTCAAAATGTGTCTTGATTCGATGTTTTTGCCCAAGAGATGCATCCTTTCATTTCATCCATGGTGGTTACAACCACCTATTAAGCCTCTTAGAAATTCATGAAAATAGATTTTACTGGTCTAGTAACTGCCACTGGCGCTTAAGCGCAAGGTCTCGGTGCTTAGGCGCGGCCTTCTCTGTTTAACTTGGGCTTAAGCGCCGGATCTGGCGCTTAGGCGCCAAAACTCTTTTGCACAATTTTACACCTTTTTGCTCCAAATTTGATCCTTTTTCACTCTATTAAGCATTTTTTTTTTTCATTTTTACTTGTATCTGCAAGAAAAACACAAAAATATTTTCCATTAAAGCGCAATATCTATATATTTTAGGTGTATCAGCTACCACTAAATGAAATAATTTTATTTTCCTTTAGATTTTATTCCATAGTTACAAAGTTGATTATAAAATTGATTATAGTTTATTTAAAACATATAACCATCAAGAAAATATGTAATCCACCTTTTAAAAAACATTTCCTCTAAAAAAATTTTTATTCATGAAAAAAAAATTAAATACAAAATGTTATTACCAATTATAAATTTCATTAAAATTATAATTTTTAATGATATAATATTTAAAATTTGACATAGTAATATAGAAATTAAGATTGCATAATTTATTGATATTAAAAAAAATTTGCATCAACAAACTAAATAATTTTACAAAATTTTTATATTTTTCTATTTTAAATATCTAAAAAATATAGAACGTAAGGAATAACTATTAGTTGTTTCTAAGGCCCCATTTGGGACAGCTTATTTGTGCGGCGGCGTTTTTCAAAATGCCGCCCTAGCGTTTGGAAATCGCGTTTTACTTGCGTTTTTAGAAACACCTTTTTTAAGTTAGATTACACGCGGATCACGGGTATATCCCCGCGATCCATGTTTGGGCTCCATATTTTCCTTCGCTACCCTCCT